GGAAATTAGGGTCGGCCAGAACAGCAATACCAGGCTCCATTCGAGCGTGTCGGGCTTCAACATCACCCACTTCAAGGGAGGCGGGAATAGGCTTTTTGCCAAAAAGAGATTTCAACATCTCATTATGTTCGGGATCGTTTGAACGGCATTTTGAAGAAGCAGAACGAATAAATAGATTGGCTGCTGTGAAGAGCGAGTGACTATAGACAGCAATGGAGGTACCAAGGGCAGACTACCGTATGACTGGTCGTCCCCGTGATCTTATAACATGCCGAGCCTACCACGGCAGCCAGCCTTGAGCAATCTTACGGGTTCTGTGTTGCTATAGGTTTATGCACTTAGCCATGCAGCATCTGGATAACGAGATCATTGCCCACGATCTCATATGCCGTTAACTGCGTGGTGTGAGTCAAAGCCCATTTTGGTTTAGGGCCGGGGAAAATTTGCCGAAAAGGGTGTTAGCTGACAGTTAACTCCGTATAACGCCAGCGGGTCCACGCTGAGGCCATGCGGACCCACTGACACTCCGATACCGATGGCGAAAGCGAGACCGATATCAAGAACTCATTGTCAATGGAAGAGGGACTCCGCTTTCGGAAGAGCTGTTTCGGACTTGAGGGTAAACCTCCTTACTAGCTTGAGCGCGCAAGACGTTGTTTTAGTGATGACTCGCGGATCAAATTGGGCGCCGACTGTATTGAGGTGTTGTCTCCGTCAGTTCCAGTTCGCGAGGTGCCGTGGAGCCAATCACAGCTATCTACCTGTACAGCTACGGAGTACACAGAGCGAGAAGGATTAAACAGGTGGTAGCACGGGTTAAGAAGGAAATAGAACAAGAGTGCATATAGAACTATTATCATATCTACTAGGAATTAATTTAGATTAAGCTTATTTTCAAATAAGCAGCAGAAGCTTCAGATTTGTCCAGGGGCCCATCTCAGAATCGCCTCAGCCACCCTCGTATTGTCTATTTAAAGCACACTACTTCATTTAACCCGCCTGCCCAGCGTCTTTCGACCCATTCTGTGGCTGAGACCGTTGCTCGAACGTAATTAAACCTGATAATTGTCTTGGCAAATTCTATTCTTAGTTGAGGCTGAATTTTCACTTGATGAAAATGCTTTCTCGGAGGCCTGTTGCGATCGTCATATAAGACCGCAACTTTGTGTTTGAAACGCGCCCATCCTAGACAAATAGCCTGTATACCATCTTGCAATGTCCCCAGGAAACATAGTGTTTGACCCATGCGGGGATGTCAAGCTTTGTGTTGGAGAAACGGACCCTGTCACCTTTACAGCCTGTTCAAGGGCTTTAGCTAGGGCATCGCCAGTCTTTGAGCGTATGCTCTTCGGGCAATTCATGGAGTCGAAACCATCAAACGGCGAGGACCGGCTCGTTGAGCTCCCAGAGGACGAGCGAAAAGCATTATCCACCTTCCTCAATATATCACATGGTCAATTCGATCAGGTGCCCCGAAATCCATCAATAGATGACCTATACGACCTCACAGTGTTGTCAAACTACTATGATGGCACACATATGTTGGAGCCCTGGATAGGAAGGTGGATGTCTTTGGTTGAGGATGACACAAAGGCGTCAAAGGAGTCCATGGCCAAGAGCCTCTGGATAGCATGGGAGTTTGGACGGAAAGACCCTTTTTGCCGCTTAGTAAGAAGAATGCTCACGGAATCCGATGGCTCCGAAGATCCCCATCTCCAAATGCAGCCAGATATCATAGGTAGGTTTCTGACGCATATCCGCGGAACAGTAACTAATTCAGTCTCAGAGAGAATATCTGCAAATCGTCTCATGATCATCCAAGCACTTCTAGATATCATCAGAAAGCTCATCAATGATCTACTAGTTGTCGATGAGAAGCCCCGCTGGTGTCGGCATGCAGAGTGGATGGGACCGCATCGCTGCGAGTCCATGATCCTGGGTTCAATAACGTTTTGTCTCGCTCGAGGGGGCCTGTGGCCTTTACCCCAAGCAGAAGATGTGATGGACAGCATCGTTGGACTGCGTCACAAGATGACACAGCTGGTGATCCATGACATTGGAAAGGTCGATGGGCTTGATCATACACACTGCAATCCAATGCAGTTCTTGTTGAGCGAAGTGGAAAGGGTATTTATTGACATTCGGAATCCTGTTATTAAAGATGACTTGGGAGCGATGGACAAACAGTGGAAAAGACTTACGAAGACATGATAGAAAGAGAAACGATTGTCTGATATCTGATTGAGTTTCATTTTTGAACCTTCAGTGGCCGAGACAAAGTAACTTCCCGGCAGACGCTTTGAGATATGTGATGGATGCATCCATCCGTTCATGTTGGTGTCAGGCGGTAATGAGTCAGAAGTTCTCTGCCCAATGCGCTGTCAGAGAAGCCACAGGGGCAAACTGTGACATGCTGACATGCTTCTCACTGATCTAGCTTGAGATCCGTTCCCTCGAGATACTTCCTCCAATAATCTACCTGAATTGAAACGCCAGTTCTCGGTGGGAGATAAACCGAGGTTCGTAAATGCATTAAATTAACAAGGTTAACCTAAACACATGGCTCAACGGCCCGTTCAACGTCATCGCGGATCTATACTGACCCTGGCTAGACCAGCTCCGTTATCTGATTTCCACTTCCTCGGCCCCACAGCATGTCCGTGATTTCTTTCCCAATCCGGCGAGAGGGAGCAATAACCCCCGAACATCCCAGTCGGTGGATCGTCCACGAATTTCGGTGTAAGCCAAACTCGTCAAGGTTCTCAAATGAGTGGACGACTAGCGAATCTTGGTGTGCGCCAAACCTGTGAGGCTCGTGTATTTTTTTCCCCCGAGGAGGGTTTCACGCATTCCTCCCCCCGACTCCCGGAGACCTAAGCTCATTCTGACGTTCGCTCCGCACACGAACGGACGAATGATCATCACATTGACATCGGCTCATCTGCCGATACACAAGAAAATATAGGATAAAGGCAGGCTACAGTTATTATATAGAGCATCATGTCAAACTATATTTCCAGATCTCTCTCCTTTTCCCAGGAGACTTGGATTTGTTGGATTGATCTTGACATGAATATTATCAGATTCTCGTTGAGTGGTCCGCAAATGATAGACGGAAAACTCCGAGAGTGGGGTAATATGTTTACGTACCTTACGCCTG